CTACTGAAGGATCATCAAACGGCAGCTGAGGTAAGAATTTTTCGTTCAAAATTCGCTTCTTTTTTGATTTCTCTGGCATCTTAAGAAAATTTTAGGTGAACTGTTTGAATGAGACAACGGAATGGCAAGTGTATATGTTTTTGTTATTCAATGAAAATCAACCGGATATCGTAAAATCTGTAAGATTTTGAATTTTTTGTTTTTGAATTCTTACTACTACTCAAACGATCAAAAAATTTTCAGTAAAATCTTGTATCATTAAAAATGCTATTTGTTGGATAGTAAAATACAAAAGTAAAAAACGGTAAGCAAATAAATAAAGGATTGTACCGCAAATAAGCTATATCTGCGCGGACATGTCATCCAGTATGCAATGTTCAGAGATGCATACCCTGTGGCAGATGCCCGCAATTTGAGCTTACGGGCGTAGTTGACTCCTCTATCGTTACTTGTTTCATTTTTTCGGATGATTTCAAACCTGAAAATTTTTTCAATGTTACTATCAACGTCGGAAAGGTGTAGCAACTATAGCAAATTCATAGGAACTTGATTTTTTGGTGAAGTTTCACTTTTATTTGAAAATTTTTTTCACCTCAGGGCGATGTGGTCCGCTTATTCCATGCTGACCAGCAAACTTTCCTTACCCTGGATGCTGTACCGAAAACCTGCCCACCCCAGGACGTGGTTTTCTTACGAATGACCAACCGGCCATCAGCAGCTGATGCTACCAGCTCCCGAGCCCTTTGGGAAGTGCAGGTAAGACGCAGCTTAACCTGAAAATATTAGATCTGCAAAATAATTACCTTAGGTAGTCCAAAAAGACGCTTACCGAGGTGGAGCCGCAAAATGGCGCGAATATTACCGTTTCAAACATTTGGCTACAGACATGTATCTTACTGTAGTACCAGCATCATCTCCAGTAAGGACGGCAGCTAATGGAAGAAGAGCTAGTCTTATGCATATGAAGTGAGTGTTTGACAAGTTAACGGTCATTTTTCTAGATCAATATGTATTTTTTGTATGGTTTACATTTTCAGTAAGAAAGGGACCCTCGAAAGGTGAGTAGGGCGTATTCATAGCACAGTATTAGCTAATCCCAGCTTTCTTGGTGATGGTACCCGTAATTTATTTTGGCACATTTGCAACACTTAGCCCTTATTTAACCTACTTAGCTCTAGTTCCTTGTTTAACCTACGTTACCCTTACAACAGTACTAATTTTGAAAAAAATTCAAATCTGCAGTCGTGAAGTTTTTCTTCTAGGACGAAAGCCGAATTTCTTGCGCCGCCGACACTTTACGCTGATGGTCCAGGTGAGCTGAAATTATTACTTAGA